AGATTTTTCTCTTTAAAAAGTTTGTAAATAAATTTTATCTTAAATCAGTTTATATATAAATATAAACTAATAAATTAATAAATATTTAGAACATAATTTTATAAATAATCTTTTATTCATTCAATATATATATCAAAATTAAAATAATAGTTTAATTCATTTCAATTGTTATGATAAAAATGAAAAACAATTATATTTACTTACTAGCTGCAAGGACCCACTTCGCTGGGTTTTTATTTGTTCGTACATTTGTATGTAATATAGTTTTTGTTTTTTATATATAAAAGACTGTTTTTCTAAGTAATCTAGAATCTAGCTGCAAGGACCCGCTTCGCTGGGTTTTTATTTGTGGGCAAAAAGTAACGATAGTGAAGATTAAGATAATTACATTATAGCCAATCTTACCCGTTTTCACAGAATGCAAGAATTAGGTCCCCCGTTTCTGATTAGAGATCTGGTCCCGATTCTATTTCTGAATGTCTCCTGTTCACGTCAAGTCAAACGAACTATTTTCAACGTTTCTGGAACGTTTACAATCGTTCTATAATCGAACCAATATTCGAATTTTATGTTTGAATTTAATTTGAATATTATTCGAATTTGTTTGAACAAATTCGAACAATGTTCGAATTTAATTCGAACAAAACATTCGAAATAGAAAGCCACTTTCAACCACTTTCAAGCCCATATCTCCCGCACCCTTATAGCTATCGAGACGCAACCCCCCTGGTGCACGAATGGAGACTTGGGGCTACTACCACATACAAAATACCATTTACGTGCGATGTGTAGTTTTGGCAGAAAAGTGAAATATAGGGACATACATGTCCATTTATATATATATAGATAAATAAACTTGTTAATGTCTACAAATGCTGTATATTGACAGTTTATAACCAAATATATATTTTTCTGAGTAATTTTATAATAAACAAGAAGGAAGTTATTAAAATTAATTAAAATGATATTAGCAAGCTACACTCCAATTGTTCAATTTAAGTCCAAATTATGAAACATAACTAAATGTAAAAAGTATCTTACAATAAAAAATGTTTCATCTGATGTAAAGATCAAGTATTATTTTATATTCAGCACACTCTCTTATCTGAAGTTTATTAATAAAATTTAAAAAGCACAAGTTTAAAATAAAAAAATAATTAGGCTTGTTTTACTTAATTACCTACATCAATTTTTCATATGCAAATTGATTCATGTTCCTGACATTCATAATCTAAATGTATCACCTATTTTTACTACAAGCCCATAGCTACTTTTTATGCAAAAGAGATAATTATTTTTGATGAATGAAGCAAATTACTATATGCTGATTGAGCAATAGCATAACAAGGAAATGAAAAATTATTGAGAATATTTATTGTTTATTATGCATTATTGTTGTTTTTTTTTAATAAACTGAAGTTTTATTAATTACTTTTGTATCTAAACACACTGTATATATTTTGCTAATGTAAATGAACACAGTAATATTAAAAAGAACAAGATAAATTTTCTAACATATTCTATCCTTAAAAACTTTTTCAAGTATATGAATAATAGTGAAAATTTTAATTTTTTGATTTCATAAATAAACACTATCAAATGTGTATCATTTATAATCAGTGGCAGATTCAATACTTGAGAGGCTCCAGGCGCAATCCAATTTTTAGGCCCTCTCTAAATATTTTCACTACCCCTACACCCTACAGTGTGCAATCTACACAGAAGTTTTTTTTACTCTGGTAGGCACTATACTGGTGGTCCTAAACACATGAGACAGAGAAATAACATTGAAAATTAACCAATATAAAATTACAATTGCCTGGCTATATTTAAAAGGTTATTGATGTTCAGATTATATTAATTATGAAAATTGAAACTTATTGGTATAAGAATTATTAAGTTTCAATAGGTAAAAGTGTTAAATACAAAAAAAAATCTAGTAATCCATGGATATAAAAAATAATTTATTTTCAAATTTACTACTGATTTTTATTTTGAGAGCTGAATTTTGAGGTCCCAGGCAAGTGCCTCTTGTGCCTGTGCAAAAATTCACCACTGTTTATAACAAATAAACTTTTGTATTAATGAATAAACTTGTTTACCTCATATATTTTCAATATCAATTAATTATGTTTTAATATTTAGAATAATTAATATATTAATTAAATTATTATTCAGAATGTTATCTTGACTAATACAAAATTATATAGCATTCATATTAACAATAATATTATTAATTTCAAAATTCACATATTATATATGATAAAAAGTAAATAGTTATTGATTTAATTAAAAAATTTAGTTATGTTTATTATACCAAAATTGATATACCAATACCAATTAAATAATACCAAAATGTGTAGTAGACATTTTTTAATATGCAGTTTACATAAAATCAAAAAATGCTAGATAATTCAAATTAATGTCTACATCATCAGTTTTCAATTTTGCTCATATCATTCCTCAATTAATTCAATAAAATTGCTACTCAATACAATTGGAGAATCAATTTTATTTAGAATTCTAGCATAATCATAACAATGAGAAAAGAATTTCTAAATATTTTTTATATCAGATATGTTATTATTTCCGTAACTGCAAAATATAGTATGTTACACTAGAATTAATTTTTTGTGAGATCATCTCTAAAGTTTCTTAAATGTATTAAAGTTTTCTTATTTGTTTGACTATTAGTTGTACAATCTAGTTGCTAAGCTGTTATTACAATATTCCTTAACCTATTTTTAAACATTGTATATTTTATTATACTCATAGGAAAGTGCAATATAATATTTAATTTAAACATAGGGATCATTAATTAAATATCTTATGCATAAGCATTACAAATGATATAGCATAACTAACAATTGTCAAGGATTTACATAAACCATTATCTAAATTTTAAATTGTAATGTGCTATGGTCAGCTGTCAAATCGTACACTGGTAAACATGATTTTTTTCTTACACTTTATTAGGTGTACTATATATATTTTTTTATGATGATTATTAAGCAAATTTGAAATTTAGCTATCACATTCTTGAGAAATTCTCAAGATTATTATTATTATTAATAATATACTCCTGATGTGTCACTACATAAATAAGTTTTAAAAGCAATGTATAGCATTAACATGTGCAAACAAATGTTAGCTGACTATTGCTGGACATTGATTTCAGAAACAAAGTGCACTACAAATAAAAACTAGCAAGAAAAAATTTTAAAACTTTAATACAGTATACATTTTTATCTTTTCTTATTACCAATAAAATTAATAATAAATAAATTGGCTTTTTATCCTGACAGAAATATTTTAGTTAAATCCTTAGTTTAATCATTAGAAATAACAGATAAATGCAAAGAAATACAGTATAAATAATCATTATTAATGATTATTTTGCATTATCTATTACCAAGCAAATCTAGAAACAGTTACAAAATATTTGAAGTAACATTTGTTCTGATAGGCATTAATTTGCAAATTATAAATATTGAAGAAAGCATTTGTAAATACATCTTTTAGTAAAAAAGCAGAAGACTTCTACATTATTGGCTTGGATTTGATTTGTGTTACTTCTTTTTTTTTCTTGTATTAAATCTTTCTTTTTTTTTGTTGGATTCTTCATGTGTTACTTGAAGAAACTTATAATCATCATTACTGGCCTTTATATATTATTATATATGTTGATAACTTTCATTTAAAGAAGACAATCATTTTGCATATAAATCATAAACTGTTACCGTGTTTCCCTGAAAATAAGACATCTGCAGAAAATAAGACCTAGGCCTTTTTCAGAGCAAAAATTAATATAAGACACTGTCTTATTTTCGGGGAAACACGGTATATATTCACAGCAGTACATCCCATAGTTAGCAACTTCAATTGCACATTGGTACATTGCACTGTAGCCAGCTTTTTCCCACTGAATGTTCAAATAAATAATTACATTAAATTTCATTATAATAATTATTATTAATCAGTAAAGAAGCAAATAAAAATATAAACCATGTTCTTTCTTTCTAAAAATTGTTCTGTTATTACAAAAACATTTTAACTTTTAACTTTACTTTACATTTTCTTTCTAATTGCATATTTTTACAGAAAAGCTTTTGAAAATTAATCTAGTGACAAAAATTTTTTCAACAAAATGTTTGCATATTTTTAAGTTTAGAATTCACATCTACTGTCAACTAATATATTATTTGCACTATTTACTATGCTAAAATTTAGTTACCATCAAAAATAAATTTTTGATTTTCAAGAATGAATTTTAAATCTGTTATTTTTCAGATTTTACATTGTTTAACCCTTTAAGTATCACATATTTTCTTTTAACGAATATACAAGCATTTTAATATTCATTTACTCTTAATGTAGAAACTTGTAAAAGTATTTTTCATGGCACCTACATAATGCAATCCAAACAATTGAATATAAAACTTGTAATGCTCGTAAATTTTATTTCTTTTTTAAGTAAATGTTATATAATTGTCATTATTTCAAAAAACTATTATGATGTTTCTAATTGGACTTCAATCATACAGTACAAAATACAAAAATTTCCATACTCTGGCTATATTTTGAGTATGTTTACCGTTACTTTTTCAAAATATACAAGAATATACATGCACTTAATTTTCTTTGGTATAGTACAAAAACAATTTAGTATAATATCACCTATAATTAGTGTCTAATCATCTACTGGGTGTATGCAGAAGATAATCAATTATCTTGCTATTATTATTAATTGAACTAAAATCTTCTATTTTCTTTATCAAAGGTTGTGAATAAAATTATCTTAAAAAGCAAATACTTTAAAAACATTCTGATAGCTTGATTATCGTTGTACTATTGAAGAATGTGATTTACAAAATAAAAAAATAATCTGACAGATCAATATTTTTAAAGAAATTTAATCTTGCATGATGAAAAATGGAAAGAATAAATATTAAAATGTTGAAAACACTGTTCATCATTAAGTGTAAACATATGAGACTTACTTGTTTCTTAATCTTTTCGTTCAAACATCGAATCCACGCTTGGATTAGGAAAGGGGTTGAAGACGGAAGCTGGACCCATTCCAAGAGGTCGTTGGTCCAATGTACAGCATCAGGATCCGAACCTTCAGCTGAAGGAAAGGCTGTAGATGTTTTCTCCGTTTGTTCGATTGTCGATTTATGTTCATCTTTCAAAATGTTCGCTTTATGATTAACTAATGAATCGGAAGGCAAAGGTGGTTTGGCCGATGATACTTCTATCGCACTGTCTTTCGGCTCAGGTGTTTCTTTCGCTTTCTCTCCTTTCTTATACTTATGAAGTTGATTAGCGATGATGTTACCGACGATATAAACGATTAAACCCAATAAAATCCAACCTATTAACAAAACATTAATAATATCAATCATTTCTTTCGAGTCGTCCGTGTACACCAGATCTTCCAGCCGGTCCGCCATATTCGACCAAATCCCCTTCAGTCGGCATAAAATTAATTCGGGCGTGATGTCAGCCATTCGTCGACGAATTAGGAAGCTTCTTGGCCCTCGTTCCTTCTTTCAAACTACTAGATCGATAACCCGCCTTTGAAACTACGCCCAACACTTGCTAAAAATGGCAGAGAAACGGCGTTATTACTCCTCCTCTGCTACATTGCGTATTTTTAAAGTAGGGACATCTAGCGAAGAAAATAAGAACCTTAAGTGATTTTCCTTCCGCCTTTCTTCACTCTGTCAAAATGAAAAGGACGAGACGGAGTGACTGATATAAACAAAGATTGACTTGCGAAATTAAAATAAACTATAATTACACCGTTCTTATATTAATCGGTCAGATAAAATCTCAGTGTGAATTTCATTTCAAAATTATCGCGTCACGCCGACGACTAAATCGTAGCGCTAACTTTAATGAGGCGAAACGCAGTTGTAAATATAGCTTAATATATATTAAATGGTGCTACGGTTATTCTTAGATCGTTATTTTTAATTGTTTTTTGTATTTCATATAATAAATTCGTTATTGCTTTTATATATTTTTGTAATTTTGCGTTACATTTGCATCAATATTTTAAATTGCCGCCTTTTTTTTTCTCATTTCGATTTAGACTATCTGAAATTCTTAATATAGCCTGTGTGATAAATTTGTTTAGTTTTGAGCGAAACTTTAAATCTATTAGAAGAAAATATTGTAAATTCTACTTTAATCAGTAGTCTATCTTTTTCAAAATAAATTAGCCTAAACTTTCCTGATTAATTATTTCTAATTTATTGTATTAGGAAAATATTTTACAAAAACCACCAAAACTAGCCTATTGTGTAAGATTTGTTGAATACGACTTTGTGTAGAATACTTTATAGTCTTTTCTGTGTTTAAAATATTCTGGAGTAAGATTTTTATGATGCTGTTTTTTAATCATTTTATGTAGATTATATTTTAGAAACAGGATTTTTTTAAATATATATATATATATAACTATCCATGTAGACTTATATGTTCATAGACTTTTCATCAGTTACACTCATTCCTATAATTATATTTTATTTGTAGTTAATGTTCCTATATTTTTTCATATTTAGCCAGTGTTTCTGATGATGATTTTAGTAAATTATTTTAATAATCAAGTACGCAGAGCGATTTTAATAATCAAATGAACGAACATTCAAATACTATCTTTCAAATATTAAAATTAAGATTTACTTTCTCTGTGAATCCTATCTCTAACTGCCATATATTCCTGTTCGTGCTTTACAGATGTTAAGGAAGTAGATAACTCTTTGATCATTTCTTCCAGCTTATTATGAGTTGCTTGAAAGAAAAAATTTAATTATGAAATTAAAAGATTAATTAAATCCATAAACATGCCTGTATATTTACCTTCCGATTCTTTATCCTGAGTAGCTTTTGGTGGATCTCCAATTTCCATCGAAAACATAATAACTTTTGGGGTCATAGTTGACATTGCATTGCTAAAGCAATAAGAATACACACCATCCATATGTGCTGAAAATGTATATTTTCCATTTGATTCTCTTTCTCCTTTGTATATTACTTTTTCGTCTGGCCCTGTTATCTTGTAAAATTAAAACATTCAAATTAAAATTTAAATACAAAAATTAAAATATAAGAGAAATTTTAATATTTTGTTAAATAATAAATTTGAATTCTTANATTAAATTTCTGATCCCAACTTCATGTAGATTAATGTTAATTACACGAATTTAGGTTCAGAAGTTCATATCCTAGTTAATGTATGTGAACACAGATAAACATAAAACATCAAAATGAGATTTATTGTATTTCTTCTTCCTATCTTTATAGTAACACCTATACAAATAGTTTATATTAATATTTTAAGAACTACTTTATTTGAAAAAAATTTTTTAATTTAAATACTTTTTCATTTCAGGAATTGAAGAGTAGAGCTTTATCAAAGCCTTACTGTTATAATAGTGTAGTTTGCATCAAATATTAATAATTTGGCAAAATGATTTAATCAATGCAAAATTTATATTTTTCTTATTTGAAAGCTAGTATCAGATGAATAACTACTAAATAAGAATTCTTGTGAGTAGTCGGACTCAAGTCCGTTTGCATCCATAATTTTTCAATGATATTTCTGATGACATTTTCCATCTGTCAATCATATTGTTTGATTCTACTGTAGATAATTTCGTCTGTAATGAGTACAACTGAGGTCGACTGTATTGCCTATTACCTGCTAGTGCTTCACAAATGAGAAAAAAGGAAAAATCAAGAATAGTAAACGTTTAAAATTGCTAGAAAATAGCAAGTTTTCAATTTTTAAACGTTTGATATTGATCTCAAACATTCACATGATATTTATTTATTTATTTATTGTTTTATTTATTTTTTGAATTTCTAAAAACGTTAAAATATATAAATTGTGTTTTTTAATCTTGCATTTTAAAAAGTATATTTTATATTACTTTATTAATCCGTGTATTCCTTCGTATGTCCGTTCGCTCATTCATTCATAAAATTATTCAAAAATTAAGTTAGCAAGAACTCTGTGATTAGACTGAGGGTTTGGTAGGAAATGATTACTTCCACGTTATCATGTTTGATTTACAGGGATATTGGAAAAATTGTACCAATTGAAGGTCGTGTGACAATTTTTTATATTTTAAAGTTAATATTGTCTATATAATATATGTAAAATTTAAACTTAAATATCGTAAGATATAGGCCTACATTTTTACATTGCAGTAATTGTAAAAAATGTTTTAAAATATCTAATAAATGTTAAGTAAAATACTTAAGCATTTATTAGATATTTTAAAATATTTTTTACAATTACTGCAATAGATGATGACGAATGCATCCGTGTTGTGATTTCATCTGTTTTATCAGATTAGCGTAACCTATTCTTTTACGTCAATTTAATGTGATTTCTAAGTGTTTGTAATGAGAAAGTATAAATATGACGACGATTAGACGTAAAAATGTATATTACTCAGATAAAATGAACATTTACAAGTATATTTATAATTAATTAATTAATAATTAATAATAAGTCTTTGTATATCATGAGCGTTGTTAGTCGTGATTACTGTAAAATCACACAAATACAGTATTTTTCTCTCTAAAACTTTTATCTCTTTCTGTTTTATTGTTATTTATTATAATATATAACGTTATTTTAGAAAGAATTATTACGCGTTATTTATTCTCGGATTTCTTACGTAAATTTATAAAGTAATTCTTAAGTTTGGTAATACAGTAGGGCTACTAACCGAAAACATGATACTTTTTATTCTCCGGAAATATTTCCGTAAATTTATCATTTTCTATTAACAAATTATTTAAATACTATTTTTCAATTACCATTACTTATTTAGGCAATTCAATTTACTTTTAAATTACTTATTCAAACTTTTAAAATATGAGTATAATGAATTTTTAACTTTGACATAGGAAAAAATAATAACAAAACCGACAGCATTAAACTTGTCATAAGTTACGATAGTAATGTTAACGGGTCATTGATATTTAGTAATAATAATGAATTGGAGAGATGACAATATGATCCATTACAAAATATTAGACTGGAATATTTTGCTGTCATCAGGAAAACGATTCTCTGAAATACTTTTGAGAGATCGATACAAATACAAATACTTCTAAAAAGTGATCGATTGTTATGCACATTGAGAAAAAAGAAGTGTAGGCCTATATGCTTACACAGCATATGAGCAGTGCAGTAATTTTTCAGTAGACAATAGATAAAATTGCGAAATTATATTATTGGTTAATTAAACAATAATACAATTTTTTGAAACAAAGAAATCTTTCATCTTTCTAAGCAAATCAGCAGTAGTCGTAACTATTATTAAATATCGTACCTGGGTTTATGAAATGTCTCAATGGGTGTGCTGCCTGGTAAAACAACTTTAATACAGCTAGATAAGCAAACCATTGACATGGTCCGTTTCATTTGAAACGGATTACATCATTGGTTTGTTTATCCATCTGTATTAAATCCGCTTTACCAGACAATGCGCCCAACACGATTCAATAATGATGGATATTGATTTTTGAATGAAATCTATGACCAAAAAAACATATGACGTTATTTTTTTCACGGACACTACAATTGGAGAACATTACGTAGAAGAAAAACATCCAGTAATTTGAATTTGAAACTCAAGTTTCATAAAACAACAATAATTTTTCATTTATAAACAATTTGAGTCAATTTTCTTAAATACTTTTTAAATTTGAATATACGATAGATTTCTGAAGTGACTTTACGCAAAAATCCTAATTACTGCAAGAAAATTGCAACGAAAATAAAACAAATTTCCGATTTTTCTTCTTACGAATATTAAGAATTCCTTCTTAATATTCGTAAGAAGAAAAATCGGAAATTAGTTTTATTTCGTTGGAATGTCGACCCCACGAAACATGGTGTCCAATTGAGAATGCCAACCTCTTACTAGAGACTCTTAATCTTATTAGTTTTATCCATTTGGTCGCTGATTGGCAAATTAGGACAATAAATAAAGTATGAAAACTTCAAAACAATATGTCATAAGATATGGGCTATCATTTGAAATTTTAAAGTTACAATTTTGACAATTAAAGTTCAAACGTTAAATCTTGAAAATAATATGCGAAAATGCGATTTTTACATCTGTTAATTAATATTCCCAAAATTTTGGACGGCCGGATGGCCAAGACGATTTTAATTTCAGTCTACCATTCTGGAGAACCCGGGATCGAAACTGGACAAGCAACCTCAGGAATTCTTCATGGATAGTCTGTTCCGAACATGTTGGATTACCATCGGCAATCATAATATGGGTCTGGCCAAATCCATGACAGGTAAGGAAAAAGTCCTCTTAGTACTCGAGAGAAGAAACAGACAAAAGTGAAACTGAAGACCAGGATTTCAAACATCTATTATATATCGAGTCTGCTACTTTTCTTGTCACAAATTAAACCAGAGATGATGAAAATTTCTTATGGAAAATATGGTTTATCGGACCATCCACAATACAATCGCCATGTTAATAAAAGGTATAGTCGGCGCAACTACAGTTGATCCTTGAGTTGGTTCATTTTTGCAACTGTAAGGGGTAATAGCATTGTTTATGAACGCACATATAATCTCTTAAATTTCACTTTGTCTTGCAAAGGGGTCGAGTGCGTATGGCTAATTTAGTAGATTATATCAGCATTACTATCTTCTATTAAATATTTATATTTATTAAAAATTCTTAATTACAAATTAAGAAAATACTTATCGTCCGATGAATCCTCCCTAC